ACTATATAAAAAAGTAAACACACTACACTAATATAATTATTATTTTGTATTTTACAGCAAGAACGATTTTTAGAATATTTTTGGGAGGGAATAATCCAAGAACGAAACGTCGTAAGTATTTACATAACTAATAACTGTTTCGTGATTAAAAGTATTTAATAATCGATTGTATTTATGCTCCGTTATCTCTTTTATAGATTTTACTAGCATCACCACATCGTCATCATCTGGGGAACACAATTCGTTGTTGTCGTTGAAGTTCACGAGATAGCACATCTAGTATTTTAGTACCATCATCATCTGGGAAGACTGATTTGTCACCTGGGAAACACATGTTCCCATAAAGTAAATGTGAAAAAATTCTTGTTCTTGTCGTCGTCATCGAAGTCTATGAGATAGCACATACTGCCCCGTGAGTAAACGTCGAAAAAACGAATCTATAAGTATTAATTAAAACATTTAACCGCAGATTATATCACTTTATTTGTTGTTTTTATACTTATTTATACTTCGTTATCTCTTTTATAGATTTTACTAGCATCACCACACCGTCATCATCTGGGGAGCCAACACTGTCATCTGGGAACACAATTCGTCGTTGTCGTCGAAGTTTACGAGATAGCACATCTAGTATTTTAGTACCATCATCATCTGGGAAGACTGATCTGTCACCTGGGAAACACATGTTCCCATAAAGTAAATGCAAAAACTCGTCGTCATCGTCGAAGTCTACGAGATAGCACATACCACCCCATGCAAGTAAGCGTCGAAAAAATGAATCCGTAAGTATTAACTGAAACATTTAACCACAGATTATATCACTTTATTTGTTGTTTTTATACTTATTTATGCTTGTTATCTTTTTCATAAATCTTACTAGCATCACCACCCCCAAACACCTAATAGTTTTTTTGATGAATGTGCAAAATGTAGTATTCATTGTTCAAATGAGTAATATATGTTAGTAACTAGCTGTGCGTTTTTTTTTTAGTATCGCATGCATTTATTTGGTATATTAATTGTTGAGTTTGGATCTTTGTATAAATCAGAGCTAATAAAATAATAATTCTCATATAATAAACTATAGTTATGTTAGAACTAGCTAGTGTTTTTTTCTAATATCACGCGCATTTATTTGGTATGAGTTCAACCACAAATTTTTACTGTGATGATTTACAAAATATCATTTAAAATTCAGTAAAGTTAAGGTTAATGTTATATTTGGCGTTTGGTAACGAAGGACATGTAGTAAAAATTAGAGAAAATTTTTTATTAGAACGTAAAAGCTAGTTTTTTACGCGAATTCTTGGGATAAAGAAACTTTTTTGTTAAAATAAACTTTGAATTTTTTTAATTGGTAGTC